AATACCTGGGACCAGCCTCCCAAAAGAAATTATTTACCAGTCAATCCAGCTGTAATGCTAGTAATAGTGCATCACCCTCAAGATCAGACTTTAACTAGAAAGAAAAAGGATGTCAAATGCAATGTACTTAAATGTCTATCTTATACGTTCCTGAGTAAAATTTAAATGTTACATCTCTGCCATATAAATTGTTCCATTTAATCTTCTGCTTTCCAGCTCAAAGAGAGACTACTTTAATCCACTTTGAGCTGACAGACTAAAGTTCCCCTTTCAAAATATTCAGGTCATAAAATTTCAATTGAATTTATATTGTAGCATTTGTAAACTGTGGACAGCTGTAGGTTTACTTGTGAGTCAGTGAACTCTTTGAACAATTCATAATCTATTTTTTCGGTAGTAGCAACAGTAATTTTTCAAAATTCTACAGACATGATTACAGCAGATTTGAGGGATCCTATTACTCAAATATACCAGATTGGTCTTTAATCATGTAGGAAAATGAAAGTCTTAGGTGCGTATTCCCATCCCCTTCCAGGAACTAATTGAGTCTAAAATCTTCTTTTTGTGGATGAGTCCTGAAATTGACTTCTTCCAGTACCATCATTTAAAAAAAAAACCACATCAGTTAAAGGATGTAGTAACCAAAGCTTAATCATGCAGAACTGCAACTGTGGACTGTTCAGAGCACTGCTTGAATAAATTACAGATTCAAAGTGCTTTTTCCTTCTGCTCATAGCACTATATGACATTTTAAAATGCAGCTTTCATAGCTGGCACTGCTTGAATAAATTACAGATTCAAAGCACTTTGAATGGACATTTTATTTGTTACTTTAGGGACAGATATAAAAACTTCTTAATACATTTGATTTTTCCATAATATTGTTCTGTTACCTGCTTTTGCAGGTATTTGGCTCTTGTTCAACCATTTCGCCTCACCAGCCTGAGAACAAGATCAAAGACTATTCGAGTTAATTTATGCCTGTGGGCTGCTTCACTTATCCTGGTGTTTCCTGTGTGGGTCTACTCAAAAGTAATCAGATTCAAAGACGGTTTGGAGAGTTGTGCTTTTGATCTAACATCACCTGATGATGTACTTTGGTAAGGTTCTAAAACTACATAGTCCAGGCTCGCAGTTGGTGAAAGAGTAGCTCCACACCAGCTGAGGTCAGGGCCCATTTTGTTTGCAGCATTCCTGTCCCCTGACATAAGGGAGCAGAAGAATTAATTGGTCTCCTTCTTGGCAGTTCAGTGGGCTATGTCCACTCCCATCCTGGATAATATTATTAATATCGAGGGCCTCGGCACAACTGAATGCAATTGTGTTACACTGATGGGTGGCAGCTGAGGATAGGGCTTGAAGTGCTTAGTCTCTGGCTAGAATTAGGTATCTTCTTTTCCACATAGAGATCCCTCACTGCACTGTCTGTTCAAGAAAGCACCTTGACTTCAGTGACAGCAGAGTTAAGTCAGTCCAGAGCACTTTTGAAAATTTTGATATTCTAGGGCAGGAGTGGGCATGAGGGTTTGGAATGGGTGCCATATGAAGAGCGATTAAAAAGACCGGGATTTTTCACCTTAGAAAAGAGGAGACTAAGGGGGGATATGATAGAGGTCTATGAAATCATGATTGGTGTGAAGAAAGTAAATATGAAAAAGTTATTTACTTGTTCCCATGGCATAAGAACTAGGGGTCATCAAATGAAATGAATAGGTAGCAGGATTAAAACAAACAAAAGGAAGAGGGTTTTTTTCACGCAGCACACAGTCAACCTGTGGAACTTCTTGCCAAAAGATGTTGTGAAGACCAGGAATTTAACAGAATTCAAAAAAGAACTAGATACATTCATGGAAAATAGGTCCACCTATACTTCTTAGCCAGGATGGGTAGGAATAGTACTTCTGTTTCTCAGAGGCTAGAAATGGATGACAGGAGATTCTCTTCTATTTACTCCCTTGGGGCATCTGGCATTAGCCACGGTCAGAAGACAGGATACTAGGCTAGATGGACCTTTGGTCTGACCCAGTATGGCTATTTCTATGTTCTTATGGGCAAGATGTAGTGAGCTGGCTAGAACAGGCCCGCCAAGCTCCTGGATCTGGCCCGAAGGACCATTACAACAGAGCAGCTCACACCACTTTAAATGGCTGGCTGCTTTCTGCTCTGCCCAGTTTCCAGCCAATAGGAGCTGAGAAATTTTCCTGGGGACAAGAGCAATGTGCAAAGCTTTCTCCCTTCCGTACTGCCAGAGTAGTCTGGAACTGCAGCAGGCAGGCAGGGAGCCTACCTCAGGTTTTTGCAGGGCTGTTGGCTGGGAGCCATGTAAGTAAGCACCTCCCAGACAAAGCCTGCCTCTGGCACCCTACCTCCTTTCTCCCCCCAACTTCCTGACCCAGACCACCACCCTCTCCAATCCCAAGTCATCACCCAAACCTCTACCCCTTTCCTCTCTTCTCCCAGGTCACAATTTGCTCCCAGTCCCCTATATCCCCTTCTGCATCCCTCCCTTAGAATTGTCTCCTGCACCCTTTACCCTCCCAGATTTTATACCACAAGCCCCTGCCCCAGATCACAATTCCCATCTTCCCCCAAACTCCCTCTCAGACACCACATCTTCTCCTGCACCCTAGTCCCCTACCCCAAGCTTCCTTCTGCACCCAACCTCTGTCCCAGATCCCACACCCCTTCCAGAGAAGTGAGACCCTGGACTACTTACCAAAATCTTGGCATCCCCCCCCCATTAAAAAATTTTGCCCATGCCTGCTCTACAGAGTTCTCATTTATATATTTCATGTTCTTCTAGCACAATGCCCAAGATGCCTGACTCTTGGACTACATCTCCTGGCCTATAAGTAAATCATGGCCAATATGTTCAAAAGAGGCTTCTGATCTTGTGTGTTGAGGGCCTAGCTTGATTGTTTAGGGAGTATAGTTTCAGATGTGCTGAACACTCACAGCTCCCCTTGACTTCAATTATGATTCCAAAATCAGATGCCACTTTCTCAAAAATTAGGTCTATTCTTTTTTCCATGTCTTAGTTTGTTTATGTGCATTATGTAATCATGTTGCCTATTCTCTCTGCATTTTGTTTTCCAGGTACACACTCTATCTGACTATAACAACTTTCTTTTTTCCATTACCACTGATATTCATTTGCTATATATTAATTTTATGTTACACATGGGAGATGTATCAGCAAAACAAGAAAGCGGGATGGTAAAGTATTAATTCAAGTATTTTATATTCTAGCTGTACTACTAAGGGTGGGAAGAACTTGTTTGAAATAGGCCAAGTCCTGAAAAGCACTATATAGACTTCACTCCCATGTTGTCAATGAGAGCCAAGGGTACTCAGCACCTCGAAAAAGACACACAGCATTTTCTAGTCTAGGTCCTATAATTAGGTTTGATTTGGTGGACAAACAGCTTCTCAGATCTGAATGCGGTCTAGTGAAGCATTGGGACAGAACTATTAATAAAAACTCTCTTGGAAAGTATAATGAGTTAAGGCTCATACGTTCATTGAGTTCAAACCTCTAAAGGTGTTAAATCATTTCATCTAACCTGCTTTATAACACAGGCCATTATATTTCATCCAGTTATATTGCTATTGAGCCTTGTTACCCTTCTGCTCCTGTACTGAGCTGTGTCGATATTTCCTTTGCAAATCCCTATTTCAAGGGCAGAGCCATCCCAAGGTACGGGCTAACCAGGCTACTGCCTGGGGCGCCCCATTGTAGGGGGCACCTTGCGGGGCTGCCGGGCCGGGTGGGAGCAGCACCGCGCATGCACCACGCGCCCAGGGCGGGGCCATGCATGAGCCGGGTGCCTGGGGGTGGGGCTGTGCATGCGTTGCACTCCGGGGGGCGGCGCCACACTTTCAGAGCCCAGAGCACACAAATAGCTCGGGCCGGCCCAGTTCAAGGGCTTATAACAACCCAAAATAAATAGGTACCCAGCTCCAATCATGTAGATTTTTATCTCAAGAAAGAATTACTTCTCCAAAATTTCATGGGAAATTGATGTGGTTTTGTCTTTTGGTTGAAGCACGTGATTTTTAAAAAAAATTATAATGATTTCAGGTGCTGACAGAGTTAGAACTCCAACTACAGAGGACCCAATTCTCGATTAGGGTTAGTTGAAAATTTGGGGGAGGGGAATAGTTTCAAAAAATGCAGTTAAAAATTAAAAAAACTAAAATTTTCCATGGAAAATGTCATTTTTTTTTTTTTGTCAGAAGTTCAAATATCAAAAAGAATGTTGGTCAAAAACTGAAATATTTTGGCCAAAACATTTATGTTTAGAAATGCTGTGGTGCCTTATGAGAGTAGTAGCTCAGGTTTTTCGAGTTCCCATTCTCCTTTTTGGGCCAGGCACCCCGATCAACCTATATTCCCTGAAATGTACTAGAAGAGGTGGTATATGTTAGTCATGGTGAAAGATCAAAGACATAGACTAGTCAAGGAGTTAATCATAGATGAGAAGGTGGATAGGAGACAAACTATAAAAGCCATGAAGTTTTTCAGCAGCATTTCCAAATCAATATATTGTATGTTTTGGATGAAATATTACAGTTTGGGGGCATTTCGTATTTTGAATTTTCCACAGAAATCAGATGCTTTTAATAAAAAATTGTATTTAGTCAAAAACACAATTCAAACATTTAAAAAGAAATGTAAACAGAAAACCTTCAACCAGCTTCAATCTCTCCTCAATATCCCTCCTATACAGGGCAGGCACAATCATCTGTTGCAGAGGATTTATGGTGTCTTACACTCCAGTGGTTGCACAGAGAGAACATGTTCTTAGGTTCTTCAAGTGTAGCTGACCCCTGTGTAGTAGAAGGAAGTTTCCTTGTATCCTTCCTATCAAGTCTCTTTAGGAAAATGTGAGATCCAGCCATTTTGGGGTGGGGGGGATGCCCTGTATTTGTTTCCCCATTACAACAATGCAGTCAGAAGTAAGTAGGGGTACCAAACTGTACAGTTTGAATGCAGGAAGAGGCAGATATTTGTTCACGATATTCTATATGACAACAAATTGTCATCAACTGGGCCTATTAAAAAAATCTTCTCAGTACCTTCTGAAGTAATTAACCCATAAGTCCATATTCAGCCCTGGCAGAAGCAGGCTCCATGCCAGTGAACAAAAACAGAAGTCTAGGTGTAGTGCCTACTTCTGACAAGACTAAATTTTGTCCAAAAATATATTGTCTTCACCGATCTGTGCTGTCCTTTATATTATCTTCATTTTAAAGTGACTAATCTTCACCTTTGTGTTGCAGTTACAATACCAGTATCCCAAGACGAAGGGTCATGAGGCTGACCAAGATGGTTCTGGTGCTGGTTGGTGTATTTGTTGTAAGTGCTGCCCCCTACCACGTGATACAGCTTGTGAATCTTCAGATTTCCCAGCCATCACTGACATTCTACGTGAGCTATTACTTCTCTATCTGCCTCAGCTATGCCAGCAGTGGCATTAACCCTTTCCTTTACATACTACTTAGTGGGAACTTTCGGAAGCGTCTGACTCGGTGCACAAGTATCAAGCTCAAGATGACAGAACGTGAAGTTAACAACATAGAAAACACACTGCGATCAAGCTTTTAAAAGGAGTGTTTATTCATTGAGAGAGAGGTTACATATATATCTATTTTTATGATTTAAGTGACTAAGTCTCATTCCCTTCTCACATACTAGTATAACTCAGGAGTGTCTTTTTCATGGTCAATGGATTTACATTTGTGTAAAGTTAGTGAGAGAGAAGAGTCGGACCCACTATTTGCATATTAGGTTATGTGGTGGAAGGATGCTGTACAAAAGTGTTCTTTGTTATCGTGCAATTGCCTCCTTAATGATGAATTCTGCGAGCTTCTAAAATGACACGATACAGGATAGAAGGACTGTCCACAGTTGGTATGCTCAGATGTGCACGATACAGGATAGAAGGACTGTCCACAGTTGGTATGCTCAGTTGGTGTGTTCAGGATCTGATGTTACTAGTGACTAACCCATTGTGTCCATTACATTGTATGAGATGTCATAAACAGGATGAGTTAGTTACTAATAACAAGCCAAAAATGACTAACTTCCAACACAGGCAGAAAGCAGCACTAGCAGTAAATTTCACTAATCATACAAGGGTCTCCCCTTGAGGACCCATTCCTGTACCCTGTAAGCTGTGCACTTGGACAACCACTCAGGTGCAACCCAGCTGTTTAACAGAGTGCCCATGGCTAGTTTTTATGTTTCTATTGGTGGTACACATTTGCACATTTCCATGCACATAAAAAAATTTAGACACATGAGTGCAAAAATCCACACATGGATGGAAAAGATGAGAGGTAAAATTGATTAGACAGAGAAAAAACAAAGAGGAAAAGATACTTGGAGGGAAGGGAATGAAAACTTTCAAATTTAGCTTTGTACATGTGCTTTACAAACCATGAAATGAATGCACTGATATTTATATTAAAGGTACATTTGAAAATATTAAACATATTGTTTTGACAAAATGCTGTGTCTGACGGGGGTTTTTCTCTATTTCTTGTTCTCAAAATTATCACTTCCAAGACAGCCTTAAGAAGAGTACTCACTCCCTAAAGAGTTCAAACCTGCTCCCGCTAGAGTCAATGGCAAAGCATCAATTGACTTCAATAGGGGAAGAACGGGGCCTAACATTTGTGTGTGTTGCCAGCATTTTAACTGTATGATTTCCATTAAGATCACCATAATATAGTAAAACTGTGGGGCCTGATTAAATTAGCTTAACTTCTACTGAAGTATTAAAATCAACGAGCGTCTGAACAAGCAGAGCATTGAGACTATGATAACACAAGTTGGCTGAAAGGGAAATATATTTTTTTTTTACTTCGGTAATACTGAAAACAAAGTCATGCTTGATCTATAGCACATTATTCTAGGAAATCATTAAAATACTTTACAGCTCAGCGTTTCCTCTTTTTTTGGGACCCCATTGTTCACATTTTCAATAGCTCAAAGTCAAAAGTCAAATTGATAAATATCATGTACTTTGGTAGGGAGTAAATGTATATTTCTTTATTTACTATTTAGTGGGAAAAAATCTACCGTCAAATTAATAAAAGACTAACATTTTATTTTTATTTTTTGCTAACCACTCGCATCTTCTGGGATTATTTACAGTATTCCATTCCACTAAAAACAAGCAGTAAAAATAGCCTCATGATATGGGGTGAGAGAATCTCCACAATCCTATTTCATTTTAAACTACTCTGAAAAAATGAAAATATAGCTCCGATAGAAGATTTGATATTACTTCCAGCTGAAATGACTGACGAGGGAATAGCTGGATCTGAAGGAAGAATCTGTCCATAAACACAGGGATCAATTGTAAAATGCAATGTAGTGATTCTTGGTACAGTAGTCAAACTGAAATATCCTGTGTTGGGGGTATACATGAGAGAGCCACCTTTTTGGCCAACAAATTGAATCAGAAAAAGGGAAATTCATCTTAAAAGTATATACACCATCGGTTGTACAGAAGGCCAAATTTAGGAGAAGACTTTAGTACTCCATTCTCTGACCCAGTTGCTGGGGAAATAATTTTAAGGTGTATATACCCTCAGTCATAGTAGGGCTGAGCTAAAAATGAACGTAGCTTAGTGTCTCCATTCTAGCTTGTGGTGGGTTCTAAGGGTACAGGACAAATAAGAATGAAGATTGCTGAGCACATTGGTACAAAGATTCAGAAACCCCTCATGAAGAGAAGAAGTAAAGTATATCGTTAGAACAAATATTGCAAAAGTTTAGGCATACCCCATGGTCTGACAATTTCTTAGCTCAGTGCTTTTTTTGTTTAAAAAAAAAAAGTGCCGGTACTCCAGGGGAAAAGTTGAGAAAAAAACAAACAAAAAAATGGGGTGGGGCCGGCATTGCCCTTTTAAGACACACGATCCCTTTAAGACACGCGTCCCACCCAACTCTGGGACATTTGCTTACAGAGGTGCCGGTACACTTCATTCTTTCCAGGTAAGCTCTGAGTGGAAGTGCCGGTACTGAGTCTGGAGGTGTCTGTACTGCATACCGAGCAGGACCGTCACAAAAAAAGCACTGCCTTAGCTGATGCTTACACCATGCAGAACTTGAGAATAAAACCCTTTACCTCAATAAGAGACACTGCTGCAGACTGGCTGTCATGAAAAGCCTGTGATGAGGCATTTAAAAAATTAGCTGACTGCAGAAATCTAAATTCTGATTTACCCAAGAAAAAGACTAGGAGGCGTGGGGCTAGTGAACAAGCTCGCCCTCCTTGCTAAATCAAATTCTGATTTACCCAAGAAAAAGACTAGGAGGTGTGGCGCTAGTGAACAAGCTCACCCTCCTTGCTAAATCGGAAATGGAACAAAGCCTATGTCCATGGAAAGGGGCCATTCAGCAAGAAAAACAGGTTCAGGCCGAGACAAGCAGATAAGCAAAAGATAGAAAGATGAAGGCATTGTGGCAGATGTAAGAAAAAGTAATAAGAATGGGCATTGGAAATTTAAATCCTTAAAATAATACTTAAAATGGTAATATCTGAACCAATGCCAGTTTTTATTTTAAGAGAATCAGGTAACTTCAAAATTAAAAAGCATGAGCTGCTACAGCTTGAGCTAAAGAGGTAGACCATCTGAGCAGTAACAACCCATTTCCTCTGGGAATTGGCACAGAATGGGACCTGTAAAATGTGCTCACCAGTGGGCTATATGTGTATTTCCCACCAGTGATAAATAATTTTGTTGTAATTTCTCCAAGGAGACTTTATGATTTCAGAACACTTCCTTGAAGAAGATATTCATAATTTTATTAACATCACTGCAGGTACTGATTATATCTTTGTCTTCAAATAATTTGCTTTCTAAATGTGTATAAAACACTAACAGCTCCTCCTGATAGGACTATTAATGCTTTTCTGCAGCTACTGTATAGTTCTGCACCACAAGCACTTTGTTTTATTCAAAGTTATGGTAATAAGTGTAGAGAAAAACTTTGAAGGTTAAATTAGAATGTTCTGCCTGAAAGGTTCCAAGATGCTCAGTGGACAAAAATAAATATCAAGCTCTTATTAGACTTGCTGTGCAGTATATTCTCAGTGGCCTTCTGGACCTGCTCCTGCTCCCATTAAAGTAAATATAGGTTGTACCTCCCTTAACTGGGACTCTCTGGTGTAGCAACATATGTAGTCCGGTAGGACCACAGATGTTCCTGGACCACAGAGCCCAGGTCTAGGGAGTCTGGCTGCAGGGCAGGAGCGCAGTGGTAGGGAGTAGTGACTCAGCAGGTGGGAGGTTGGTGAGGCGTGGAGTTCTGGCCCCAGGGCTGGACAGTGGCAGGGGGCTGGCAGCAGCTATGGTGTTCCAGCTCCAGCTCCAGCCATGCAGCTCTGGCACCAACGATAGCCAGGGCACATGCAGCTTTGGCCCTGGTGACAGCCAGGGAGCACCTGACCCAGCACTGGTGACGTCAGGCTGGAGTCCTAGCAGGGGGGGCAGCGTTCAGCATGGGACATGAGGGGAGGAACCTGCCCTGATCAGGCACATCCCCTGATTCGGGACCGATCAGGTCCCAAGGGTGCTGGACCAGGGAGGTCCAACGTGTAGGAACACTCTGGATCTGTATAATACATGGCATATATGGTGTTATATTTCTTATGATGCCAAGAGTGATGTCATTGTTCAGACTAAGTTATTGCTAGGCAGTAGGTGACAGGTTATTGGGTGTTTTTAAACTGGGAACTGGAGGGCTCAGGAGCTGGCAATGGAAGACGTCTTCCATAGCCCCCTTCAGCAAAAGCCCTTAAGTACACACTGAATTATAAATATTCAGGTAATCCCACAGTGATGTGGGCTGTGCTGCATCAGGACCTCAAGTCATCCATCCAAATTCAGCCCAGCTCAGTGGAGCCTGAAAGGCTCCATCATCTTAGTGCCCTGAGGACAAGTATTCACAAAACAAACAGAAACAGAACTGGCATCCTTGGTGGCAGTCGCTTCAGGTTATGCAAGGATGAATGATTACAGAGACTGAAATGTTCTCACCATTCAAAATAATTCCCTTCAGCATGGGCCTGTAACCCCTGATGCACTATTAAAAAGTACCACAACTGCCTAAGTTGTACAAGGCCAGGCTCTGCAAAGCAGTAGAGTCTTTGTTTTCCTGTGCTGTGTTGATTGGTATCTATCAAGAATCATTAAAAGAAAAAATAATTAAAAGAAAGCCCCTCATGGGCTCAGGAGGTTTTTTAGAGCAAACCAATGCAATGAACACCACAAGAAATCTAACTAGTGCAATGATTTCCCATGAGAACTGCGTGGAGTTTCATGAAAAGACATACAAAGTAGCAAATCTTCCAGAGTCCTGTGCATGGGCGTAGTGGCCCTGACACAATATATTTTAGTTGTAATATCTGTACTAATTACTGTACTAATATTGCACAAATGTACACTAGCTGATAAAACATAAATCACTATTAAGGTTTAAGAGAATTTTTGTGTTCACTTGGGCCTCGTCTATACCAGCACCTTAGTCTGACTTTAGCCCTCCAAGGTCAAATTTTTAAGCGGTACATCCACACTACCAAGGCTGGTATTCCGGAATAAAGGACCGTGGAATTCAAACTCTGTACTCCTGCATTTCATGAGGAATAATGTTATTCCCAAGGTTGCAAGTCTGAAATATCATTAGTGTGGATGCTCTGGTGCTGCTAATTCAAACTTACTAGCCTCCAGGAGGCCTTCCGCCGCTCCCAGGAGTGCTTCCTGGGGCTCTGAGTCCAAGGTAACCTGTCCAAATTAATGGAGACTGCCTCAGAATACATTCGATTCTTCTCCATAGTGAGGACACAGAACTTAGAATTGGTAAAATTGGGTGCTCAGAAGTTGAAATGAGTAAATTCAGACTAATCTC